AATACTTTATATAATGATTTAGTAGCTTATTAATTTGTTAAATTTGTAGATAATTAGCTTTAAGTAGTGTCACAATTGAGTACAAAATACTACCGGTAGTACACCTAAATCCTATCCATTAATTTAAAATTTAAATAATTAATTAAAAATTTAAAAACTTTTATTAAGCATCAAAATTAAAGAATTATTTAAAATACAATTTTTTTTCATATACAGTATATATATTATCTCAAAAACTGGCTAATTAATCATTACAAGATATTCTAAGTAAAAATGCTAAAAACTCTTCCTAAACCCTAACACTAAATACTAACACCAATATGAAAATTTTTATATTTAAAACAAAAAAATCTAGAAAACATAATAAAACATAATAGATGCAAACCACCATAGATGTGATGTGTATTATAATAAATGATTTATTTTATAAATATATATATATATTAAAATATTACTATTCTTATAATATACCCGTGGCAAAGCCACGGTAAACAGCTAGTCTTGTAAGAAACAAATTCAAAATTTAATATAAATTTTCTATAGTGTGTAAAATAAAGCTTTTTTTATATATGCGTACAGAATATAAAAAGTATTTCTTTTTACTAAGCTTTTCTTTCAATTTTTAATTAAACTTGTGAAGCTCAAATTTTCTCTTTTAATTATACAATATAATTTTTTTTAATACCAAAAAGATATGGCACTCTATATGAAACTAATAGTAATACTGCGTCGCATTTGACTAATTCTTTAACTGCAAACTACCCCTTAAATTTATAATAATTTAATAACAAAATTAGTAATTGGGCTAGCAAAGATATCCGTTATAAAATTAGCCATGGCGGCCCCTCCCGAAGTTCAGGTTATAATATACGCCATTGCAATAGAACCCAATACTTAGTTATTCACAATACGTCAATAATGCCGCGATTCATATCATGTGACCAAACTTTGGAGGGACCATCCTCTGGCTAATCCTCGCTCGTCATACGTGATATGGTCATTTTACTATTAAAAATTTGGTACTTCAAAATTCGTCTGTTAAACAGGTGAATTCGGCGCAAGAAGTCCGTTATATTGATAGTTAACTATAAACTACAAAAATTGTCCAACCATAATGAAAGCCCATTATATACTTCCGAAGTAAGAATTTACCCAGACTTAGATTCAAATAAAGTATATCGATATTTAAATAGTTAAGCGGATAAGTTTTACTGTACGTTACGTACGTACATTATGCAAAATTTCTTGTTTAGTATAAATTAAAGTTGCCTCTCCTATATCTATTCAAATACATGTGACTATAGTGTAGGGTGTTCGATTTGAAGAAGCTCGGCTTTAAACGAAACAATTGGCTTTTATAACAAAGCCAAAATTTTTACCACGTGAAACGTCAAATACCCGGGTACCTTATGCACTAGTTACGGTATGATAGAAATGTAATCCTTGCTTTGCCCTGAGCCAATAAAGATTAAAATAAAATTTTTTTTCGCGATAATTAATGTGTATACAGTAAATCATTGTATAATTCATACTATTGTTATGTAATAATGTCAGAACACAGATGCACTGAGCTTTTTGGGTATAAATTTTTAATATACGCAAATAGACGTATACAGAAACGGAAATCCGGATGCATATCCGGTTATTATAAGACAAAGAATTGCATTTACTCGATTACCCAAATATCACAAATTTCAATAATCCTGCTAAGGTGATCTTTACAGGTTCTGAAACTGGATGATTGATTATAGTGCTTACCGCTACTGGTCAGAGCATAAATCAACGTAATTATGCGAGTCAACAGGTAAGATTTATTATCTGTCCTAGAAAGTACTACGTATGTAGTTATTGGGTGTGTATGTAGCAGCCAATAAGTACTTTTTACTTGGCATTCAGAAGAAACAAAAAATCAACAATGCTTTTAATTAAAACAAAAAAGTCCCAATACTGCAATAACTCAACATATAGCCTTTGTTAATAATGTAAAATGCGAGAGGCTAAACCCATTGATCACGTGACTTAAGCACTTTGTGCATTGCATTGTCTTTGGTGTAACATAAAAGTATTTATCGATATTATGTTAACTTTAAGCGCTCTGAACTTTAAAAAAAGCTAGACCTGGTACATGCTTTCTTTCATCTTAAAATTCGTCACAAATTATGACATCCACAACAATAGGAACCGAAAAATATGACACTTTACTTAAGCAAATATTTGAGTCAGAAGACGAGGATATTGGGAAGAATTTTTCAGTAACGACAAATGGGCATTCAGAAGGACCGTTACCACCGGAACTTGAAGCTGCCTTGGAAGACACAACTCAAGCTGAACAATATCTGAATAACTTGAAAATTAAAGTTGAGGCATGGAAAGCGGCTGGTTTACCAGGCGCGATGAAAAGAGCCTTCGAACTTTTAAGTGAAGATAGAATAACAGATGGAACTGGCGTAGAGGAAGACGACGACACCGATGGAAGGTTAGAGTCCATGATACTTTATTAGCAAAATCAAACTTTGTAATTTTAATTTCGATGCAATTTGCATTTTGATATTCAATGTTGTTGTGAATTGAGTTTCTTGTAAATTTAAATTTGCGCAGCTTCTTCAAGTATTTAATTTGATTTTATTAAATCTTACTGATTTTTTTCATACAGTAATGATGAACCATCTACACCTATAATGGAAGTCCAAGATCCTCATTCTCAACCAAAAATAGCAGAGGGTTCAATTTCACGTCTTGGTAAAAATACTTTGACAATAGTTAGTTACACTTAATAAACAGAAATAATAGGTTAATTTATTCACATTTCCGTCTAATGAATATCAGTGAATGGGGTATCTTCATTGGTTGATATTGAAAAATGTTTTAAGGGACTTCTAATACCGGAATTGGATCTCACAACTACTCCAGAGAGTAAAATAAAAGCTACTCTCAATGAGTTATACAAACTACAGGAGGATCTTCAAATTCATTTACAGGGTGGGCCGTTAGCAGATCCAGCAACCTTAGGTATACAACGACGAAAAAAAGTATCCGATCTGCTCGAAAAAGTAATGAAAGAGGCTGCATTATATGAGGAATTCGTGAATAGAGGTAGAATAAACCTTTTTTGAATATATAATGAACAAATATCCGATGTAAAACAGTATTTATTATATGAAATTATGTTACACATTATATTAGCATCACATCTTAGTTTAGAGAGAATTCTGAATGAATCTGATGCATCCAGTGAAGAAGAATTTCAAGATTCTGAAACTTTGGATACAGAATCTGGAATCCATTATTTTGAGGTTAATTTCATTTGTTATTAAAATATTTATCAATTTTATGCGAAGCATAATGTAATATAAATTATTATGCAGGATTCCTTTTCAGATATATCTCGTAGATCTACAACAACCACATCAACTGCACCCCTTTCACCGCGTTCACTAAAACCAATTGATCCAACTCTTATTCGTCTTCGTACTGTGTCAAATGCGTCAGCCCCTTCGATGCGATCTCGTATATCGTCCCGACAATCACGTTCGTCTTCTCCGTCTGTATTAGGCCTTGAGGATATGGGATTGCTTTCGCCACCGGAACCTCGAGAAGCATTTCGATGGAGTCCATTACAGAAAATTTCTGATCATTTGTATTCACAAGAAGTTAGGCATAATGCAGGGCTGGTAACTGTGCTTGCTGTGAGTAATTCATTTTGTTCAATTTTTTATTCTAAATTTAATTATAATATAAACCAATTAGCCTGATTGGATATTTATTTTATTTTATTATACTAATGTGCAGGTGAGCAATATAATCGCTGTTGGTACTACACGTGGATTGGTCATGGTATATGATTATTCACAGAATCTAAAATGTATTTTGGGTAGCACTGTAAACGGTACTATGTAAAAACTTTTATATATGCATATATGCATCTTTTGAGAATTTTTTTGTCATTAACATTTTATAAAATTTGTCTTCAGCTCTTGAGCATGGTGCAGTTACGTCACTTGCAGTTTCTTCGGATCATACACAAATTATTAGTGGTCATGCACAAGGTTACATTTTAATATGGGACATTCAAAGGCCTTTGAGCCCATCTCGAAATATTGCACCTATATCTACAGCTGTTGCGGCTGGCGGTGGAAAAGAAGGACATATTCGTGGCTCTACAATTTTACATGTCGGGTTTGTTGGCATCCGAAAAAATGAAAAAAATGGTATTGTTTCTGGGGACAATAAAGTATGTTCTTAGCTTAGAACGTAATTTTTAAGTATTTTTGAAATTAAAATCTATTTTGTGGAAGTCTTAATTTATATATATATCAATTATCAGGGAATGGCATTCTATCATAACTTATACAAAGTAATGATGGTCAATGCAACTGAAACAACTCGTATTCTTGGTCGATATCCCGTTTCTATATCAACTCATGAAACACCTGTTGCGTCAAAACCGAATAGACCCAGTACTGTTTTCGCTTTGGCTCCATTACCTTTAGGACAGCAACATGGTTCCGAAAGTTTTGGCCTTGTAGCTATGCTAACACCATATAAAGTATTATGCATTTATTAAAAATTTCATGACATACTTTATTTAGGGTCTTTACTAATTTTATTCTCATAATGTAGATGATAATAGTGAGTACAAAACCAACAACCCAAACTCAACACAAATGTGTAAAACCTAAGAATGTTTCATCGGATTCGACTCTACCGTCTAAATCAACATCCGGTTGCCTGGCTTGGTTCCCAGCTACTAAATTTCAACCTGATATGGTTTTGGGTTGCAAAAATTTTTAATGTCTTTAGTCACTTTTCGATTATTTTAAACTCTATTTTTGTTAATCATGTGTTTGTTTATTGTACATATAGACCCACTTCTTGCTTTTTCATGGGGAAATCAATTGATTATTTTGAAGATTATTACTGTATCATCAACTATTCCAGAAACTTTAAAAAAACGACGATCTGAACGTGATGTTCGTTTGGAATTCCGTAAGATAGGCGAATGGAAAGGAATAAATAGCATAGTTGGATTGCAATGGCTTTCTTCCCAAGTACGTCTTAAACGGTATTAAATTTATTTGACAAGCACGATAGTCTATTCTCGTTGATATGACTTGTGCTTCCCGTTATTATTTTGTTATCCAGATTTTGTTGATCTTGACAAGTACGGAAGATGTTATCGTTTTTGATCCTAGGCACATGCAGGAAAGTGAACAAAGTAATATTAGGCAACGTTCATTGGTATATCACGATAGATTCTCTTCACTTTTGAAAGATCTTTCTGAGGATTCAAATGGCCAGATTGAGTCCATTAGGACATCCACTACTATGGATCTAGCATATTACCATAGTTTAAATGTTTATAAAGGAAAAGTGTTTTTATTAGTATGTATTTTATTTCCAATTATCTTATTGGATAATATTTTTATCAGCAGCATTTTTTTTAATTATGTAATTTCAATCAGGGTGTACACCAAATTTTTGCAGGATCACTTTTATCATGGGCAGATAGAATATTTGCACTTGTTGAATCCGGAGATTTTCTTGACGGAATTTCTCTTGCTACAACTTTTTATAATGGCACATCTTCTCAAACAATTCTTGGTCTTCCAGATGATGAGGAAACTCGCCATGAAATTGTTGGGGAAAAACTTATGGAACTATTAATAACGTCTATAAATCATGCTTTACCGCACGAACGAACACTTCATGGCATGATTGACGAAAATAATAGTACTGTCCTGCTCAAAGATTTAGCCACTGCTTGTATTGAAGCATGTCTTAGTATGCACAGGGAAGACTTTCTTTTCAGCGATGTATATGAAAGATACGCTGAAGCCCATGCTAAAGGAATACTGCTTGAAGTTCTAGAACCGTATATTCTTGAAGATAAAATAACAGACCTTCCGCCGGAAGTAATGAAAGACCTTGTCACTCACTATCGCGAACGTGGTATGCTTCAACGAGTAGAAGAATGCATATGGCACATTAATCCACAATGCTTGGACATTGATCAAGTGGTTAAACTTTGTCGTAGCGAAAAACTCTACGACGCTTTAACTTATGTTTGGAATCGATCTATGGTTGATTATGTGAGTCCAGCGGTTGAACTTCTCGCAGTTATTAGAAAAATTGTAATTTTAGAAAAAAGAAAAAAGAAGAAGAATCGATTTTCTATCTCAAGTGGTTCTAACAATAGTCTAACTGAACCAAATATTCTCGATGGTGAAGATTTAGGGACTATGAAAATGAACGCTCATAAATTTTACATGTATATGAGTAATATCTTAACTGGACATACGTATCCAAATGGTGCACCACTTAACGAAGTAGAAGCCAATGAAGCTCGAACGACTCTATATTCCTTCATATTTTCTGGTCGATGTGTGGTATGGCCTAGGCAAGGTGGTAAACTAATACTGACTGCCGAAGATGAAATAAATGGACCTGAACCTACCTATCCATATCTTCGACTATTCTTACGATTTGACACAAAAGCTTTTCTACAAGCTTTAGAAATTGCATTTGAGGATTCTTATTTGAATGGTGTTGAAATTATTATGAACGGTAATGATTATTATGAGGAGGAAATACCAGGAAAAATTATTAATCGGCAATTATTAGTCAATATATTGCTCGAAGTAATGACGGAGACTTCGGAATTCACACAAACGGATATGTCATACCTATACTGCTTTGTGGCTCGTAATCTATCAAAATATCCCCAATTTCTTCTACTTTCACCAACTTCAATACAAAATTTGTTAATAAAACTCAGCAACGACAACGATTTACGTACACGGGAAGAGCGACAGCTTTCTGTGGAATGTCTGTTGTCTATTTATACTCCTCAAGAAGAAAACAAAATGGTCATATTATATGAAAATGCTGGGTTTTGGAGAGTTTTAGAACATGTATATAAAGCTGAGAAAAAATACGGTCCATTAATTACGACTTATTTAAAAGATCCAGATCGAAAAATTGAAGTTTTCGATTGTATAAGAGGATTATTGAATCCTTGTAGTAAACTTACCGAAAAACAACATCTGGAAGTCTTAGAAACAATTATGTCACACATTGAAGAAATTGTTGATATCGATGGTGAACAAACAGCTTCAATAATAAAAATGTACTTTGATGGTGATCATCAAACCGTAATTAAAAGCTTGGGATCATCAGCCCGTCGTTTCACATACTTAAGAGGACTTTTAGAACCATCGCAGGACGATGCCATAATTGGGGAACATGCTAGGATACAAATGGTCGAAGAACAAGTAATCTCGGCCGAATCATTAGATCCGTCAATAATTACACCAGAAATTCATGAACAATATATTTCTCTCCTATGTAAATTTGATCCCACTGGTGTATACCATTATTTACAAACTCATCAAGATGCCTATCGATTAGAAAAAGTTTTACCTATTTGCGAATCCGCTGGTATTGTTGATGCGGTGGTATGGATTTTAGAAAAAAGTGGCAATGCCATGGGTGCACTTGATAAAATTTTAGAAATTGTCCAAGAAAAAAGGCTGGACATTCTTGCATTGGTTGAAGATAAAAAAGATTCAAGGGATGACCAATGGACATTAATTGAAAAAACCAAGATTGAAACATCTTTAATGAAATTGAAAGGTGTTCTCAAGATTGGAATTCTTTTATGTGAGAATAGTTATCGACGTGCAACATTGACTAATGGTTCTGAAGTTTTAGCGTTACCTCAAATGAGCCGTGCTAATGAAAGTGAAACAGAGTTATTATGGTTCAAACTTTTAGATACATTTTTGGATGCCACTAAAGCCGTATCTTCAAGTGTAATACCACCGATTCCAACGTTGATGTCAGAAAAACTTTTGGCTAATGGACAGCTATCTTCATTTGAAATGCCTAGATCAGCCATACCACCTCACATTGCTAATCATCTGGTTACAACATTTAAATCGTACGTTCAATCTATCGTGAGATCTCTACTTTTAGCAACATCATCGCCTTACGTTTCTTTCCCAAGACTATTGCTTCGATTTATACAATCACAAGCCAAAAGAAATAGTACCGTCTCGGACTTTCGGGACATTTTTGCAGGAATGATTGATACATATAAATATGAAGGTCAGTTGCTGGCTATGACCAACCGACTATTTGAAAAGGACTTGTTCAGGGGTGTAGCAGGTGTTGTACGACAGCGTGGTAAAGGCTGGCGTCCTCGTAGGGGGACGTGTGAGGTGTGTGGGGGTCAGTTCTGGGGAACGGACATGAACCCACTGACCCTCCGCACAGCACCTGGTAGAAGTTCATCCGAAAAAGAAACGACCCATTCATCAACTATATCCAACCCTGCCAATATTGCAGATGCCATAACATCCGAAGAAGAAACTCCTTACGATATCGAACGTGCCATAACGAACATGGAACTACCAGAAGATCAAGGTGATCTTCAATCGGTATTAGACCAGTCTGATGAAGCTTCAACCTCACAAAACTCTCTATTTCCATTACCATCATCCCCCAAGCAACAACCAACGTCTCCAACGGTTCAAGAAAATGACTTACTACTTTTCCGCTGTGGTCACGGATATCATCGTAGATGTCTTGAAACTGAAGCAAATGTCAGTACTGAAGATGAATCGGAAACAAAGTGTACAGTATGTCAGACTGAACGACGAAGAGAAAGCATAGTTCCATTTGAAATTAGGCGTGGTTCACTGGATAACTCGACAGGAAAAAACAAGGGCAAAGATAGGCTTGTGAGTATATAAAATCTTTATAAAAATCAAGATTTTTTTATATATATATATATATATATATATATTTCTTGGTAATATTTTTAATTACTTGTTTTTATTGTTTAGGAATAATATTTAAATAAATTATATTATACGATATGACTTAATCCGAATATTTAATTCATTTACAATAAAACTTTGAATTATTAGTTTTTTTTTTTTAAATTTATGTCAATCAATTTAGTCTTAGATTCAACAGAAGTTTGTAGCGCTGGGATTAGGATAACCTTTTCTGATTGGATAATCATTCAGTTGATTTATCACAAATGCTGTATAAAGTTAAGATGTTTCTTGTATCAAACAGGCGATATTACTCACTGTGCGAAAGGATCTTAAACGCACTGCTTAGAAGATAAAATTTTACAGCATCGTGTGAATCGTGTGACCAACCAGATTACTTGGTTAGGGTATAGGTGTGATTGGTTAAAGTTTTAGTGTAATGCTACGCATATCCTTGTATTTTGTAACGTTTAAACCAACTTATTTATTAAACTAAAATAAAGGTTATAATATTTGGATATGTTACTGTATATACAGTACAATAATTTTAGAGCTTGAAAAAGAAAAAATGGTTAGCGTTAATACTGTAGTTCGGCAAACCTGTACCTTCCGTTTCATCCTTAAAATACGAAGGGGTACTAAGACCAGGGGTACTAGATATTTGCTGATATTAATGATGACAAAGTTGTTCTATTAATACACTTAGCATGTTTATTTATCGGATAAATAGAAAATAGCTTTATTAGTATTGTTTATTGCTTTATTTATAAAACCAAACTTTTGATGGTGTTAAAATAATATTTATAAGCATATATATCGATATTTGGAATAGAGTTTGAAGCTGTATTTAAAAAGGTGTTGTATTTATTCAAATTTAATAATTTTTTATTTTATTTATTTTAATTTTATTAAAAATTTAAGTTAAACTATGGCTTTTATCATTTAATTAAATTAAAATTTAAAACTTTTAATGCTGTAACTAGATAAACTTTATATATATATCTGTATATATATCTGTATATATATACACAACAGTAAATTTAAAAAGCTAACTAGCCAGATTTATTTTAAAATTTTATATAATCCGGTGTAAAAAGATTAATGCACCATAGCTAGAAATTAATTATTAATAATTTGTTTATAATATATGCGTGTACTGTATAAAATTTAAAACGGTTACCAAGATTCTTGCGTTATGTTTCAAAAATTTTAACATATACGTGTCTCTTGACAACTACCTACGTACCTAAAATTGATAAAAAATTTTTTAATCAATTTTGGATAAGTACGTATATCAAATTTTTAAAAATTTAATTTTTAATATAATTTGTCAATTCATTAGAGTGAAATAGAGTAAATAGATATATTTCATTAACTCTATTTGCTTCATAAATGATTTTTTCAAATAGACAATATAAATTGTCAACCTTGTCTATTAGAATATTAACTTTTTACTACTTTTATTCTTTTTTTAAAAAAATCCTAACTTTGGAAGTAACAATCCAAAAGTTCAGGCTCATTGAATATCGATAACAATAAAGCAGACCCAAAAAATCATTGATTTTGTTAGAACGAAGGACATAATCGAATGAAAAGCATTCTATATGTTGATTCCCTACTAAGCTATATAAGCTATATTAAGTTTGAAGACTCTATATATACTATGATACATAATTCAAAAATTTTGAATTAACATAAGCATCTCGCTTGTAATATAAATTATAAAGCTTGTTTATACGGTATAAGGAGGAGGTCGTGATTTTTCTGAGCGTCCTCCAAGTTGTCGTCGTTGTTTAAGGGGTTGACCACCGATTATACCGAGAATAATATATATAATTCCTATAATGAATACGAACCATCCAGGGACTATTATAAATATGTATAGGCTAAAAAATGAATAAAAAAAGAAATTCTATGTTAATAACAATGAAGAAAAAAGATAAAATTTCAAGGCCAAGTTTAATTACCTGTAACCCAAAAAGCTGTAACTATTTATTCCGCTATCATAACCAAGGATGAGCGATCCGGTACTAAATACGGTCATTAAAAAAAAAAAAGGTTAGGAGGAAAAAAAATACGTTATCGCAGCATAAATTAAAAAATAAATATTTACATGACTTGTAGGAAACCAAAAAAAGTCCAGCTATTAAGAACGGGGAACCAACCAAAAATCTTTGGTATACCAATCTCAACCAAAATCAAAATAAGAGCTTCAACTCCAATTGCGGTTCGATTCATGAATTGGAATATAACATTACTTTGACCAAGACTTGAAAATCCTTTGGCATTTACAATAACACAGGTTGAGATGACCAGCACCAAAGAGAATATAGATAGTACGCGCAGCGCATTGAGAGCAATCCAAATGTAGCTCATTTCGAATTATATATTAGGGAATAAAATTAGTGAATAAAAAAAATTAGGGAATAAAAAGTAAGAATGATAAATTATAAAGGGTCTATATCGATATTCTAAAAGAAAAGAAATAAAAGTGTAAAAAGATTCTAGTGACTTTACAAAAGTGAGGAAACTAAAACTTCGCTGAAATGAAGTATATTTATATTAACAAATTTCTAAATTTAGCATTCCTCCATATAAAGAAATAAAATAGATAAGGAAAACAAGAATAATTAAATAGCCAATCATAATCAACGGATTTAAGGTCGTAAATCAATAACGTTAATATTGTTACCTTTTATGAACAAAGACAAATTGGTTACAACGTAAGATTTAATAAAGATTAATTTGCATGGACCTTTAAGAACAAAGGATTGAAATTGAAATACTGATATTGAACATTGTTCTTCTTGAAACATCTTTATATGAATTGTACAAAAATATGAATAAATATGTATCAGTTATTTTGCACATGATACTTTGTTATTTTTTAGAAAAAAACTTTTTATAGTTACTATTATTTTTTTTCATCTTTTAATAACCGTCAAATGGCGAAAATTTCTAAACTTGGTTCTCTGTTCAGCAAGTACAATGGTTCGAATGCATATAACTGTTACAGGCTCAGTTGCCGGTAAGTTCTAATCGATTTTCCGGTCCATATTATTCTTAAATTATCAGGACGGTCATAATTTCTGTTACTGTGTTTATTGTGTTGTAAGGAATCTTTGCATACGTACGTACGTATAAGATTTATAAGCATCTATTGAAAATCTCGATATTCTTTACCGGTTACTGTATATATTACTATTACTGATGTGAAGTTATATGCTATTAACAGAGGTCAAATTGATTACAAATTTGTAAATGGCTTTAGGCGATCTCTATTAACAGGAAACATTGAAGTTCGGAGTTTATATGAAGATGCTCTTATAATATTAATAATGTTATCGTTGTCTAGCATAATTCAGCATGTGATTGGTGGCGCTGTCAATTTCTTTCCCAGTATCGATTATTTTACTATACTACAACATTTTGATAGTTATAGATTCTACTCGTAATTTCTGGTGCAGAGCAGAACGGAGGAACTTAAATCTTAACAAGAGGAAAATTTTTTTTAGCGTGGGTTCCAGGGAGGTGTAAAAATTCAGATAATATCAATTATAGTTAAACCTCCCTAAATGCAACTTTTAGGAATCAGGCTTTTGACAGCTTGCATTTAGAGACCAATAAGAAAAATTGCGGGTTTGGAAGTGGAAATGGAATTTAAGTGGATTATACAGAACCAGCATTTCAGGGTTATTTTATCCCATACCCTAACCCTAATTTAACTCGTAAATTTCGAGTCCACTTAAATTCTGTTCCCACTTACAATATATATATTTTGGACCAAAAGTTAAAGGTTGCATTTAGAGAGGTCTGACTTATAGTTGCCGTCCTTGGGATTGTCAAACCCATGTGATGATTAGCATCACATATGGGTTCAACTAGGGATGTTAAAAGTTCGGTTCGAGTCGGTCTTTTGAGTTGACTTGAACCGAACTTTTTTGAGTCGACTCTCGACTTGAGGAACCTTTTAGGACCGAGTTCCAATGGTCATGTGCAGCGTTATACACAAATCACTCCCGTTATAGTGAGGGCTAATTGATTAACTTAAGTTGAATACTAATACCGGAATACTATTGGTAACATCATGTGTTGTGACCAAATGTCACATAAATAACAAGTCGGTCCCGAGTCTGACTCGGAACCGAGTCAAATTTAAAACTCAACTTTTGGGGTCGAGTCGGACCGAACCGAACTTTTAACATCCCTACGGCGGGTCAGTTTAAAAAAGTCGCCACCCGGGTCACCTGATAGGTTACCCAGGTTAATTAAAGAACAAACTCAGGTGGTTAATGTCCCGAAAATTATACGTTGTTCTAAAAGTGATAAAAGTTTTTCAATACATCCATATCGTTAAAAATATTTGAGAGTATTTAGCATACATCCATATCGCTAAAAATATTTGAGAGTATTTAGCAATTTTTCGGACTGACCCATCAGAGATATTTTGAAAGCATCATATTTCTGTATTCAAGTCTATAATATTTACATCGATATCAATTTATTGAATCTTTTATGCCGGAATCACAAACTTAATCGAGTCGACAAAAAAAATAATTCGGCCAATTTTTATCAGGTGTCCCTGAAATTATGTTAATAACCTCAAGCAAAATATGATAACAATTCCGGCTGATTTATCTTCGGAAGCTAATATACTACAAAATCGACCAACCCGTAGGCCAACTCACAGGTCATCCATGGGTTGGCCCACCCGTTTTCAATGGATTGCCATAACTTAACCTGGATCACCCACACACCCAGGTCAAATCATTTATCACGGCATGTGTTTAATTATCATGTTATTTAAAGTAATCACTAAAATTAAGAATATAATATCAAAAATGTTGGGAGTAGAAAAATATACAAGTACCAATTTTTAATGAAATCTTAATCATATATCTTTTATTGATCTTGTCATTATCTTACAATGATATATAAATTGAATTGACGCAATCTTTATATAAGATATATACCATACCAAAAAAAAGTTCACAAACCACGTTTTAGACGATAAAATGAAACCAAAACAACAATAGCACTTGCAGAAATAGCCCACAAAATCAACAAAATAAATTTGTACAATGATGTATCAGGAACAATATATTTTGACCTATTCAGAGATTTCTCAGCTTGCTGCACATAAATGGTGTACATTGAAAAAGCGATAAAATATGACACGTTGAATATTATCATCCTAAAATAGGTGTTAAAAAGTCAAAATTTTGAAGAACAAAGCGATTAAATAAATAAATTAAATAAATAATAAATACATACGGGATATTCTGGTTATTACCAACTACAATTGCTATATTTCCAATGAGATGTATAGTAGCGGCAGCGACCAGACAATATATCTGGTACTGAGGAGTAAGAGAACTTGCATTCACGGAATTACGACCTAAAAGTGGTTGAGATTCACTTCGCCTTCGAAGATAAGTATGTGTTGCAACACGAATGAAAAGAACCGGTAGCAAAAAGTCCAAGGCTAAATCTGTTAAAAAGGAATAAATTATTTAATATTCGAATTAATGGTTAGTAATAATGATTAGCAATGCAAGTAGAACTTGCCTTGGAATTTGAAGAATACAGCATCCCAATACCAGTTTATCTGGCTAGTGATTGCGATAACAGAAATCGAATATACTGCTATAATAATAAGGCCCATTACGTAGTTGGAAGTTCCTTTCTGCAATAAGGCAGCAGCAAGACAAAGTTCTAAAAGATTATGATAGATTCCAAAAGATGCCCATAATTTTCCCATTTGAAATAAAGTACTCGTAATCCGAGCAATAAAGGTGACAATTACATAACCAGTAACAATAGTATTGAAAAGTAATTTTGTCCAAATAATTTCTTCTGTATGTTCGTGACCGCCGCGTACATCAACAGAACTACTGTCGACAGGTGGTATTTTGTGGAGCTTAATGTATACGCAATAAACGGAAAGTACTCCAGTGATAAAAGCTGCAACATATTCAGTCAAACCCACAAACTCGCTTATTGACGTAAAACTAGCAGAGGCAGGAACCCATATTGGTAAACCAGTAACGTTTGATATCTTTTGTAGAGGAGGGTCTGGGAATGGAAGCACATTAGCATATAGGATTGCTACCGCTATCAATTGTATAGCAACAAGTAGCTGGAAAAGGAAATTAAGAACTTGGTTGGTGTCGACGGGCATTGTATAAGTTAATATGAATTAGAGAGTCTTTTCTAAGTTTATATACAGTAAGAAGTTGATGCGGACTATCGCATAAGTTGTGAGAGCAAAAAAGCCATTTTTAGCATTTTAAATAATTCTGATATTCTGTTTTGCTATGATCGTAAAATGATCACGTTAATGCAAACGAGGTGCGCTTTGTTTATTAATATGTAATGATTACGTACGTACGCACACGATAATAGATTTCATCACAGTCATGTCAATTTTATGTTTAATTATATTTGTTGTTTAAAGTATCATTAGATTTAGGATAGAGTCAAGTTTAAACTAATACAGAAATCATGCCTATGTGCCAAAATTTCGCAACAAATATATTTTATTTTGTTAGAAAATATATAAATATATATTAGTATATATTTAGGCAAATTTAGAGTCAGCGATTTTCTATTGTAATACGTAATTTATCATGTTTCGGTTACTGTACTGTATAACTGAAATTAGAACACCAATCAGATAATTTCCAATACTGCATGTAGTACTGTATCAGGGGCTAAGTTTGCCACTGTGAAAACTGTTTCCAGATTAGTGAATGCACCGTACATTAAATAGGAATTCTTTAAAAAAAATTTTAGCCTAAAAAACTTATTGTATTTCTAATTAAAGCAATTCTACGTAATTTAAACAATCAGAAAATTTATGTTACGTACTTAGAAAGCTACTGAAAAAATCATGTTACATCATAAAATTTTGTGCGCCGATAATTATTCTTTTATTTAGTTAGGGTTCTGTAGGTACATATCAGCACAGTCATAATATTTTTTTTAAATAGCGCCAGGCACTTTCCCGAGCACCATTATTGATGGCCCGTGCCCGGCATTTGTAAAACACTAGTTTTAGTCTAATCATAAGTTCTCAGAAACGGATAAGTTGTCAATAAAGTTAACAATATAGTTATTTTCCATATAAAAAAAAAGCCATTGAAGATGACATACGTTAATACATTAAGAAAATTTATTCACAAACTCTCATCTAATAACAATGCTTGTGCTAATAATAATTTTTTGATATGACACAATGGAAGAAGGTTCCGAAGCGCTTATTTAATTTTTTTTTATTACCGATGCTAATTATTTAATAAAAAGATCACAAAACAAACTTAAAGTAAAAAAATTGGGTTTGTTTTTAGATCATTTAAATTTAAAGCTGTTTATATGTTTATAATTTTCTATTTAGTTTATTACATTAATCTAGCAGGAAATTATATATATAATTTTGTAATATATCTTAAAAATTTGATTTGATCCAAAACTGTAAAATATAATTAATAGACTAGACAAGATCAAACATCTTTATACATGCTTATTAATTAAAATTAAGTTTATTTCGATAAAGATGGAAACATTTAATCAATTAAACTGGTTTAAAGGTAAAAAATAAAAAATAAATAATAGCAAGTCAACTTTACCGAAACGGTATTGGTATAAAGAGAGATATTCGAGAGGCAAATTATTGGTTCACAAAAATATAAAAGCCTTTTGGAAACAAATAAATCACCTAATAATATCAATCCTGAACTTAAGATAATATTAGGCGATGAGAGATTTAAATTATCTTGGGTTTATTATAATGAGTTTAGAATATTCAAAGAAATAGGAAAAGGAGGATTTACAACTGTATATCGTGCAACTTTTTTTGATAGATTTAATGATGTATGGTGGGATGTTGCACTTAAAGTGATTCGTGATTCAAACGAAAATGTGCAAGAATTTATCGAGGAATTGAAGAATTACTGTGAAATTGGTTATGAGAATCCTTCGTTCCTGAATTGTTTAGGAGTGTCAAGAAATGATCTTGGTGATTATATTATTGTTATGCAGCTTTCACCAAAACGACAAAATCTTGTAAAAGTATCACAAATGAAATGGAGAGATAAATTGAATATTTTATACAGTATAACATTGGATCTTTAATCGATACATTCGCAAGAACTCGTTCACAGAGATTTACATATAGGGATGGGTTCGGCTAGCCGCGGCTAAATAGCCGGTTATAGCCGATCAATATCTTAATGATAATGACAAAATAATTGTATATTAGTGCTTAATTCGGCATGAAACTATATTGTCCGGATTTAAATTATCTAATAAATAGTCGTATAGTTCTGGTCAAATTTGCAGATCATTTGACCAGATCTAGAACAAAAAAATTTAAATCTGGTCAAATGATATGCGATTTTGACCGGGTAATGCAGATCCGCACGATAGTAAATACTTATCATTTTTTTGAAAGGTTTAGAATATAAGCATAGGACCTGACTAACAACACATAAGACAATAATATAATCGATTTATAAAATTACTTATACATAAAAATAAGTAATAAAATAAAGGGTTTTGTTATTTACAACCCCAAATTTGTTACCATACCCCTATATATTAAAATTTTTTAACCTTTGCGATATTAACTTGACAACCACTAAGTTAATTTTAATGAACTTTTTATTTATTTTAATTCTACGAATTGTAGAATTTAAATTAAAAAAAAATCATCGAATTTGGCTTGGTGGGTGTCGAGATATCTTTAAATGCTGCACCAAATTGTTATTGACCTTTGAGCGAAGTTATCTCGACACCCACCAAGCCAAATTCGATAAACTTTTTTTTATTTAAATTCTACGAATCTGTAGAATTAAGATAAAAAGACGTTAATTGGAAATTTGGTTTTGTGGGTGTCGAGATATCCTCGCTCAAAGATTAAAAAATTCAAAATGTCTATCAAAAAGAAGAGCTGTGCCAACTTTTTTTTAAACTTTGAGTGAATATATCTCGACACCCACCAAACCAAATTCAATAACCTTCCTTTATTTGAATTCTAAAGATTCCTAAAATTTAAATAAAAAAAATTTATCAAATTTGACTTTGAGTGTTGAGATATCTTAGCCCAAAGTTTAAGAAAAGTTTGGCGCAGCTTTTCTTTTTGATAGATATTTAAAATTTTGAGCAACGATATCTCGACAAACACCAAGTCAAATCCGATGAGCTTTTTTTTTATTCGACTTCTACGTATTCATAGAATTTAAATAAAAAAAGTTCATTGAATTTGGCTTAGTGGTGTCGAGATATCTTCACTTTTTGATGGACGTTTTGAATTTTTTAAATTTTTGAGTGAAGATATCTTGACACCTACCAAACCAAATTCAATAATCGTTTTTTTTTATTTGAATTCCACAGATTTGTAGAATGTAAATAAAAAAAGTTCTTCAAATTTAGCTTGGTGGGTGTCGAGATATCTTCGCTCAAAGTTTAATAAAATTTGCGTAGCTTTTATTTAAAACTTTGATTCAAAGTTTAAAAAATTTTGATATACAGGAATATGGATAACAAATTAATAACAAATCCCTAAATAAATTTATTGTGCTAGTGAATATAGGTTTTTAATTTAGTTGCAACCAATTATAAAATGACTTGCGGATTATAAAAATTTATAAAAAGCTAGTTGTGTATGTAAACATTTAATAGCGGAATCCATATATACACTTCATATTTTGATTGCGGAAGTTTAAAATTTTGTTTTAGTCCACAAACTCTGAAACCCAAATTCAGACGTACAGTGCATCACTAAAAATGCCTATAAAACTTCGTGATATATAATATCACTCCGCTGTTGGTATTAATGAGCAGAGAAAATAGTCAAAACTTTAAACCTACCATCTCTGCTTAATAATTTCATTACTAGACATAGCATAGTTTTAGAAATTAAGGCCTCCGTCAAGTAACAGCAGATATATTATGAAAAAATAAATAAATTGCAAAAATAGAATAATTAGCACAATAGGGTCCTAAAAAAAAAGTTGAAAAATAAGTCAATGGGTAAAGCAAAAAAATAAGTCAACGGGTAAAGCAGAATAAAAATCAACTTTGCATGGCCTAACAATTAGATTTAACATGTTGCTTTTATTCTGCATACCTGCCTAGTTGCTAAATTATTCAGGCATAACTTACTGTAAGTTATGTACGTAAGTTACATTTTAAATTATGTAAGTTACCATGTAAGGTAAGTAAATTTCATCCTTTAATAACCTTAATGCTGGCTAAATTTATTCTGGTCAGCGTTAATACAAAGCCGGCCTGCTTTACTATGATAAATTTATTCTGGTCAGCGTTAATACAAAGCCGGCCTGCTTTACTATGATATATTTTGTAACTTACTTAGGGTCATGTAACTTACAATGTAACTTACAATGTAACTTACACTGTCAGGTAAGTTATTACAACCCTACTCTGGCTTTTTTGGTTTTCTCATTATTATCCCAAATGAAGTAGAAATCTCGCCACAATTAGAGGAATTGATCTTTCCAATTTCACCAATTCAACATTAATTCATCAGCAATGGTAAAATTATTAAACAAATATAGCATACAATGTAATAAATCTTTTAGAAAAAACGTTAAGTACACAACGGGTTTTACTATTGTGTGATCTGCATCACCTGATCAATTCTTCAGATCATTTGACCAGATTTAAAATTTTGTTTTAGATCTGGCCAAATTTGTCCAGAATTATAAATGATGAGTTCCTCTATGATGTAGACCCGCCGGTATGATTTCATTCCGAATTAAGTATAAATTATTATTTTTATTAGCTAGAACATTAAAATCTGGCATCGACTACAATTTTAGCCGGCTAGCTAAGCCGCTCGGTCGGCTAATATCGGTTACGGCTAATAGCCGGCTATAACGTAGCCGTTCCCATCCCTATTTACATAGTGGAAATATTTTGCAAACCTTTGCTTTATATGACGCATATATCACTGATCTTTGACTTTCTAGAAAAGTAAAGAAAGTGAAAATTTGTGAAATTTTACCATATTAGCCCGAGGTTTTGGTGGGTCAACCGTACACTCAAGCATCAGATATTTACAGTTTTGCGACTGAGATTTCGACTGGACAAAGAGCATTTGATGAAATTCTGTTTAATGATGATATTGTATCAAAAATTATTGATGAATCAAGACCTAAATGTTTAGGACTAGAATGCTATATTAAATTAGCTATTAAATGTATGGATAAAGACGACCTACTGCAACAGAAATTATTGAAATAATCATGCGTTGGTTAGATAAAATGATAATGAAATCAAAAAACAATTTTTAGAGGCCAATAAGATTAAATCAGAACTGATTAAACAAAACATTCACAAGACATGTACAATTGCAAGATATATGATACAAATAAATTTTCAGAATATATTAATACTGTAGAATTTTCGAGCGAGTTCTCAAGGCTATATCTAAATTAATATGTATTTATGTAATATACACCTAGGAAGGTGCAACTAGTGCTCCGAAAGGGTCATTCGGGTCGGGTTTGGGGTTGAACCCGTATTTGTTCGAACAAACCCGGGTTTGAAAATCTCCGCTCGTGTATTATTAAAATTATCCGGTTATCCGGTAATTTATTATAGCTCAATCTCTAGGCAAATTTTTTATCTATACTGTACTTTTCATGCACATTATACTTTTATCACTTGGGGTCGTGTGTAAATTTTCGGGTTTTATGTTCTGGGGGTCGGGTACCCGGGACTTTTGACCCCTTTCGGAGCACTAGGTACAACTATAGTGATTTTTTCCTTAATTCATAATCCGCCTAAGAACCAGTGACAAAACATAGTAAATAGTAGAGATATTTTACTATATATTTTTTATTGTCTTTGGAATCTGGCGTTTCCCAAAAAAAGACTTTTTTCTTTACTAAGTAAACCTCTCTTCAAATTCTAAGTAAACCTGTATAGGAGTGTCTTGCGATCAAAATGGTGGTTTAAACCCCAGTGGATCGTGAGATATAAGTACTTTAGTCTTCGACTATATGTTCTCTTCTTTATTTACATAAAGAAAATATATAGTCGCAAAGGCTAAAGTACTTATATCTCACGATCCATTGGGCCTATTTTAACGTTTAAACCACCATTTTGATCGCAAGACACTCCTCTACAGGTTTACTTAGTAAAGAAAACCGGTTTCTTTGGGAAACGCCAGATTCCAAAGAAAATAAAAAATATATAGTAAACATATCTCTAAAATGTACTATGTTTTGTCGCTGGTTCTTAGGCGGATCACGAATTAATTATCAAAATTTTCACAAGATCTAATTCATTATATTATATATATAAATCTCTTTTCACTTAATTTATAAAGTTTTGATTATTTTCTTATCATTTATGTTCTTGTGGTTCGTTTCTCGGAGTAATAAATCTTTAAAATCAGTTTAATCTCAATTTTTGATTCAAATGATTTCGGATCACTAATTTGCTAAACATCATAATAAATTTTCATAACAATGCTTTTGACTTTGTATCTAAATTAATATTTTATATTATCAGTTATGATATCTGCGTGTTTAATTATAATGTTAAAATGATTATTTTTGGAAATAAATTTCATTTACATTAGAGTAGCTTCGTGTAACCAACATTGGTTCGAAAAGGACGTGTTAGATTTGGCTAAGAGATTAAGCAGGGTTTTTAGAGGACAATGTAGTAAAGGAAATCCATCAATAGCGGGCGCAATCACGTGATAACCACTACCCGACAAAATGGTACGGCAGACTCTTGATTTTGATTGGCTAAGAGCGACGATCAAACAATTAGGCAGCCATCAGTCAAGTGAAAATTGTTCCTGGGCCAATTTTATCACAATGCCGGCTTATTTTAAAAAATTTCCATTTTTGTAATGAAAAAATTAAAAGTTAATTCCGGCCGGAAGTAATGTGGGCCAAAATTTTGAAGATCCTCGGCCGTTAGCCAATCAAATCGAGGATCTGCCGTGCCAATTTTAGTAAATTACTTCCACAAGAAATATTTAAAAATTTTTATTATAATAATTGTTAACTAAATACATATGTTTTTTTTATTGATTGTTATTCTAGAAATATAAGAGAACACGATTAAAAACAATTATAGCTCACTCACATCATTGTGAAGTCCTCAGGCCGGAAATTTTTCACTGCAATTCATAAAAAGAATACTAGATATACTTTAATAATTTTGTAATTCATTGTGCCAAGAGTTCGCTATAACAAGAGTCTGTATTTGGATAGACTAGCTCTTTCCATTATTTAACTCGTGAGTATACTTTAGAAATCTGACTTCTTTTAAATTGGTTATTTGGTTCATGAAAGCAGCAAGTTTGTTTATAAATCCAATTACAACAGGAGCTTGCTATAACGAACCTCTTTATAATAAATCCTGGAAATAACGACTGTATAAATTTAAATTATACTATTGAGTTTGGAAATTGTAGATTTTATAAATTCGATGGTTCTATGTCATTTGTAAAATTTAACTCAGGTTTTACAAAGTCCCGTTCGCAATTATTACTTAATCAAGTTATCTTTAACGTATGTATAACTATTTATTTTGGTCTAATAATAATAGGGTTGTTTTTAGAAAACAATTACGAAATCTTTCCCTACTCAAAAAAGCTTAATATTCTAATAATAATAATAAATGAATAAATAAAAATAAAAAGAAGTGCTGATAAAACCATGATAAATAAATAAAGGTTGAAACAGTTTAAAATTGTAGGTTGGAATATCATGTGACTGCAATAAATTTATGTATAAAATTTGATAAATAAATGAATAATTGTAATTATTTGCGGTAACTATATGTTAGATACATTATGGCCAAAGTTGCAACTATTGCAACTAGTTACAAAAGATCTTCTAAGCATAATATCCCCCCAAATTTCTGTTTTGTCTGAATGAAACAAAAGTAAATATCTCATAATAAATAAATGTAGGATTAGTATTTATTTCATTTTGATGACTTGTATCTGTTTCATTTTGATGATTTGGAGAGTATTGTGAATTGTCACCATCATCAGAAGCACTCAACATTCCACAACAACATGATAAAAATGAAAATAATATGGCAGTCCACATACAAAGTAAATTTGAAATACGGACCATGCATGCTGTGCGAATTATTGGTAAAGTATAATTGTAGTCCGCAGGACAAAATAATGGAATATTTCCCATTTCATTAATCGTGATAATGGTGTATACAACTTTTGAAATTGTATATAAAAAAAAAAAATACAAAGATAGAATTGTTATTTTAATGCATTAAAATTTGATATTATATTGACTTATGCAAAATATATTAAATAATACCTGGAACTATTATCATCGCTATAATAAAAAAACTGTAGATATGATAAAATATTTAGATAAATAATAGAGGGTATTGCTAAATCTCACCGCAGGTGATTATCACTGATTGAACCTATATCTCAAAAATGTACTAAATAATTTGGGTTAGGGGTTCTAAGTAAAAATGTTCAGAACCCCCAAAACCCTTACCCTAACTAAAATTTAAACCAATATACCTAACCCTAACCTATAAGGTCACCCTAACTCTAAATTTTAGCAAAAAACTATATGCGGTGATGATCACCTGCGGCGAGATTTAGCAAATTTAATAATAGAATATAAAAAGTCCATTTGCGAAAAGTATGAACAATTACATTGAAATAAATCCAAGGCAAGTATTGACTAAACGGCAGCAGTGAATAGTGAGCGATAAAACTATGGGTTTAATTTTACAGAAATGCATTATAGTCAGTAGTTTTTTATTTTTGTTTTGTTTTGTGGATCTATCATTATACTTTTTCTTACCAATATAGAGAATTGAAGTAGCCAAATATCTAATAAAAAATATATATATCCTTAAAGCTTTGAATTTCAATCATAACAATTTTATAGATTTAAAATTAGCTTACACATAATCAACTAGATGTAATGAAAGTATACCGTTGGTTTGTTGGAATAAAAGGATTTTAGCGAGTTCTAGATAATATTAAAGCACTAAATTAATCCTACAGTATTTAAATTAAGCAGATCATTGACTTTGGTTTAGAAATTTACCAAGTGCTGGACAACACCACAATATTAATCCAAATAGCAGAATAAAGCATGACAATATCGATTCCATTGCAGAAAATATTGGTTTAATTAAATTTTTCAAAACTCCTATAAAAATAAGCGTATTTTAAAAAACAATTATGGGTATATATAAGAATAATTGTGTTTTGCCGACAATATTTGCACAACATTCAATCAAATTCGTGTAATAGTCAATAAACATTTACAAGTAACAAGTAGGTTCTGATACTTTAAAAGTCGAATTATAAAAAATAGGTTTGACTAAACGTGATATCTCGGGATTTTGTGATCCGATTTTGATGATATTGTTATCATTTGAATCGTTTTAATGTGACTAGCCGGATGGTATCAAAATTACCAAAATCAGACTGCTATTTCTCGAGATATCAATTTAATCAAACATAATTTTTTTGTAAAGTCGACTTTAAAGAACTAGTTAGAATTTTCTTGTAACTTTGTAGATGTTTATTGAATATTACACGAATTTGATTGCGTTATACGAATTTGGTCAATAACTCATATTACTAAGTCAATGTGTAATATTGTTAACATGTTCCTTGTATCACACAAATGTGTAAGGTTTGTTTCTGTTGCACGGTACAAATATAGAAACGCATATGGACAAACGTGAATTTTCACCATCTTTTTATGGTGCTATCCATAAATTAACAAATGAAATGATTTAAAATCGTAGCTACTAATGTACTTTCACAGGTTGAATCAACGAATATCGGGTGCATACCGGGTGACAATTTTCCCGATATGTACCAGTTAGTCTGCCATAGATCCACAAAATCAGTAACATATTGGCAGAACATTTGTAAGATATTGGGAGGTAGATCGATATCAGTAACATAACAACAGATACCCTGATATCTAACTCTTAGCACTCTGGGCCTAAAAGTAAGATATCGGTGTATCCCAATATTTTGCTGTTATGTTCCAATACGCTGCCAATATGCTACTAATATTCAGCGGATCTATGGCAGACTAACGGGTACATATTGGGAAACTTTCTCCCGGTATGCACCCGATATTAAAAAAAAAAACTTAACTAATAAAAGTAACTTTCACTATTATATGAGCAATAAAGAAAAACGAACTATAGTTGTATTTGCATATTCAAATATTTGAGTAAGCCAACTAACTCTGTTATTATTAAACTAGATGGTAAACATGCTGTTAAATAAACTTTACAAGATAGAACTAATAACAATAATTATTGTCGCAGCTGATGCTGAAATTTAGGGTCCCAATTTAAATCTATCCCTTAAACCGTATAGCGTACAAATTTGTATGCTAAAATTTTTGACGATCTATTGCGCCTTATTTTATTATGCCTTTAACCCCTAGTTCCTAAGTTAGAATTGAAGCGTGATGTATGTTAATCCTCACGTGATTTATTCATCACGTGATTTACAGTATCTTCCACTTCGGTTTAGATTGTTAGATTGTGCATTGAGTAACTTGATAATCGATCATTTTCTCTTTACCCGCTAAATGAATTTTTGCTGCTTTAAAATAAATAAATTAATGACAAGAAATAAAAAAAAAAAACATACTCATATTAAACTAATGCAAAATAACTGAAACGGCTTATTGAGCGATAAAATACAAAAAAAAAAAAAACTTGTGAACTTAAAAAAAAAACTTGTGGACTTAAAAAGAAAATGAAAAAAAAATAAAAAATAAAAAACAAATATTTCCTGAAGTTGGTTCAAATAGTTCAAGTGCATCGAGTTTGGCCCCACCGGAATTTCAGGAAGACAGTGAAGAAGAATACATACCAATTTTGACAATCCGGATTCTGAACCTGACAGAAATGACGATGACGATGATGATACTACAGAAATAAACACTAAAAGTAATCATAAGAGAAAGTGAACTTCAGCAAAAATTGTTCAACAAAGGCTGCCACCACTACCAAGCAATTTTGAGCATTTTATTCATTCAAAACCACTACATCAGGCATCTACTACTCGGTTGCTGTCTCACCTTGATGTTGGCTCTTTTAAGCCAATTGATATTTTTCTTTTTTTTTACAACATTCATATTAGACATTGTGGTAACCAATATGAACATATATGCATTAACCAAAAACGCCAGAGATTATGGTTGACAGTGGCAAGACCTAACTTGCAAAGAGCTCATAATTTGGATCATGTTAATAATTTATCAAGGACATTTTAAGTCCCCTTCTCTTGAACAATTCTTGAATGAGAATCCAAAGTTTCCTGTTCACCAAGTCTTAAAGCAAATGTTATTGATACACTTTGAACAAATTAAAAGGTTTTTACACATATCCTCTCCTGAAACAACAATTTCAAAAAATTAGAGTTGTTGCTCTCGCATATTCGAGATACTTCAAAGCATCTTTATATACCCAGTTTAAACGTTTCAGTTGACGAAATGATGATATGATTTTTTAGCAGAAGCATTCATACAGTTCGAATAAAGAACAAGCCAACCCCTGAGGGGTTTAAGATTCTATCACTTTGTGATGTGGAATACACATACACTTTTCTACCAATATTGTGTGTTGTTCCAAGTGATATTAATAAAACAAATGATCATAGTCAAACTAGGTATCTCGTTTTTCATCTTGTTGAGCAACTTTTCCACCAACAATTTCTATACAATATATATATATATAATTATTTTAGCAGTGTTTCTTTTTCTAGCATCTTCGTCAGTATAATATTGGTGCCTGTGAGACTATTCGAAGGAATGCCTCCAGATTTCCAAAAGAATTAAAAGTAGAAAAAAATACTAAACTTGATTGGAACATCCATTCTGGTATTATTATTAATGGTGTAATGGCTTTTTTTTGGCAGGATAATGACCCTGTTATAATGTTATTAACGATACACAGTCTTGTTGGTAAAGAATGGAAAGTAATATGGGAAAGACAACAACCAAGGCAAACCTGTACCAATGCGGCTAAGGTTAGTATTTTTTAATTTGTAATATTTCGACTCACCACTAACTATATATAAACAATACTAGATAAAGTATATGAGATGTTCAGTTCCGAATCAAAAAAAAAAACCGAAAATTCCCAAGATTGTTGACGATTACAATTACTATGAATAGCATGGATCTTGCAGACCAATTGTGGTTGTATTACAGTACGCAAAAATATCACGAAGGAACTGGATGCCTCTTTTTTTTGGCTCCTCGATACTGTAATTATCAACACCTACCTGATTGCTAAAACTATGGGGTTAGTTCAAAAACACAAAGAATTCTGCTGTAGTTTTGTTTGGGAACTCTTAAACTTTGCTGATGATAGTGAAATTCAACTAAGAAATAACGAAAAAAAAACTAGATCTAAAAAACAAACTGGTAAAAAGTAACGAAGCATTTTGAACTATCCAATAGAAGGTTGATGCCAGAAGACCACCTTGTTAAGCATAAAGAAAAGCATGAAGCATGCATGTAGTACTCTGTGATGGAGAACCAAAAAAAATTGGATATGAATTGCAAATCTCCAAATCGGAATAACTTTTGGTACGTCGCATGTGATGTACCACTTTGTTGCAATAAAACCTATAATTGTTTTCTAGAATTCCATAAAAAAAAATAATAAATAAATAAAGGCCAGTTTATATTGTTTTACATCGCTTTGCAATTTTTTAATATTTTAATAAAATTACTCATGATTGTCCTGATGTAATTAATAAATTAATAATTTCACAAACTAGAAGTCTTTATAATCTCTTTTGTGTTATGGATTACTAAATACATGGGTGGCTCTTAATGTTACAATTATTTAAATATGTATTATATAAACTGGATTAATTAGGATAGCCCCAAGAGTTCGGGCAAAATTATATACTTTATTGCTATAGTATGAACATGTGCCTTTTTGCCATGTCACGTAGTTATATCGACTTGCTTTTTTGGAGTGTATCACGTGACCCAGGTTCTTGGGCATTATTTTAGCTAATTTAAGCAAAGTTTTGTACATTAAAATTTTTTTTTGATTTTACTTTATTTATACTGATTTTAGTGTACAAATTTGTATGCTAAAATATACAATTTAAGGGATAATACCTACTAAAATTTATATATACTTTTTTACTAACAACTCTACCTTTAAACCCTAACCTAACACTAAAAAAAAACCCTAACAAAAGGCCCAAAAATTTTTTAAAATTTCATAATAAAATAAATCAAAATTTCAGCATCTGCCAATTTCAGCATTAGCTGCGACAATTATTATTAATTGTACAAATATATATATTTATATGAATCAATGATTTATTAGATTTATATATTGGTTTCATATCATAGGACTAGGGTAAAAAATGACTAGCCTAATGGGCTTTTTAAGCTTTATTAGAAATTAATTTGGAACACCTTTCAAAACACTAGTCACATGATTGTTTATTATATGACTAGTGCAATAGTGTTTTGAAAAGTAACCTAAATTAATTTCGGTCTTGTTCCCACCCTACATAGGGCAGAAAGAAATATTTGACTAGCTGCTCTAATTTTTTTTATATAAGATATTAATTAATATTTGTTCTAATATCTTCTCTATAACATCTTGCAACATATATATAATCTCTATCATATGCATATATATAAGGCCACGAAAGTTAATTTTTCGTTTTGCATTACATAGATTTCAAAATCAACAGTCTGATATTATTATTATTATTATTATTATTTTAACGTATAGTATTTAATAGACTCATGTTCATATTTAAGACTACGAATATTTAATTTTTCACTTTGTATGACATGGAATCAGAAAATTGAGTTGGCAATTGAATATTTTATCAGTTCTATCAGACAATTTTGGAAAAATAAGGCCTCTACCAGGAGATACTGAATTGATTTGTAGAGAAAAATTAAATAGCAATAATAGAACAATTGGCATAATTAGAACTTTAAAAAAAATTTGAAAAATTAAAAAAATGGGTCAATAGGTAAAATTAACTTTGTGTGGTCTAATCTCTATTGCATGCATATCTATAATCTCTATCGCATTACATATCTATTATCTTTTTCATATAAGCATCAATTTATGTAAGCTACAAACCTGGTTATCCTTGCGATAATAACCTTAACATGACTTTGCAAAAGTATAGAGCTAAAATTCTGTAACGAGTTTGCTATTATTTTTGACGATCAAAGATTATCATTTAACACTGGTAAAAAAATCAATTATTAACTAAATAATAACTAGTAATTTCTGGTACAAATTATAACTTATTTACTATATATTTACTAGATAATTTGTGTCATTTGTATATTTTTAGTTAATATGTTTAAATGCATATATTACCCAGTAAATATATAGTAAATAAGAGTAAATAAGTTATAATTTGTACCAGAAATTACTGGTTATTATTTAGTTAATAATTGACTTTTTTACCAGTGTAATCAACCCAATAAAACATCTTACAAAAAAAATGTAAAATGCCAAATATCAGGTAAATAGGCAAATTGATTTGCATTAGCTACCAATTTTGTTTATAAAATTATTAAGTTTAATATTGATAGTTATTGTAACTTTGATAATGCATATGTTTGTAGTCCTTTGTATTTTAAAATAGAATTCTGTATAAATATGTATTTACACTTATACATATTTGTTGATCTATACGATTATTATAATTGAAATGTGACAAATTTACATGTGAAAGATAATAGTGTGACAAATCTATGTGTGAAAAATAGACAAAATTTGACGAATAAGTCATGCGGACCAATCAAACTTAAGATTTTACAAACGCACACCATTTAATTTGCTGTATAACTTACACTTTGTGATATGTATCACTCTGTTCCTGGTATACACTTCGTGAAATTTTCAATATCATTATATTACTAGTATGTAAATAATGTTTAAGTTTCATTAATATATATTTTTGTTTTACTTATGTATGAATGCCAGTTTGCTAGTTTAATTGAAGAAATCATAAAATAATAAAAAAGTAAAATGACTACAATGATTGAAAAAAGAAATAGGGTTTCTTCTAAAAATAAAAAGTAAGACCAAGTTAAGCAATACAAATTCAGGCATTCTTCTTAAAATATGTTGCAATGGATAAGGCTAATTATTATCTTGCTCAAATATACCAAAAGATAGAGAAACATTTTCATTCCCAAATTCTATAATCAGGCCATTCAAAGTTAATTTTTCAGTTAGCATCAATTTCCAGAACTCTTGAAGGGAGATCAAATGAAATGAACATATAAAATGAACAACTTATTTTTAATGTACTAAATCTATTATAATGAATTGACTTCAAGTTAAATTTAGTCTAGAGATTCTAGTTTAGTTGCTAATTAGGTCAGATAAATTTGATTTAGTAGTTAATATTACATTTCTATTATAAAGGAGAAGAGAAAAAAATAAACAAGTAAATAATTTATTATATAATGCATTTATTCAAGAAAAAAAACTTCGCACATATATACAATTTTTATAGCCAAAACTCTTATGATCTAGTGATTAGATTTTTAATATATGCAGCGATCACAGATCAAAATTTTGGGTTTACTAACCCCAAGTTTCTATTGGCCGAATACAATTTTTGTCCTTCATTGAATGAAATAAATTACTAATCATATGGCTTAAAAAATATAAAAAAATATAAAAAATATTAATTTGAATAATTGATTTGTAATTGTTATTTCTGTAAAAGTTAATGTTTATTTAAATATTTCTTCTTACTTATTAATAATAGTTCTTTCTGAATAAAAACACTTTGGAAGCTCTTTTTTCAGCAGTCTTTCTTGAATCGTTTCACTATAAACTGAAATAAACATATAGGCAGTCAAAAGTAAAAACCGCAGAATTTGACTTTTTTTAAAAAATTGAGTTTTTAGATTATTCAAATATAACTTTTAATATTAAATCTTTTTAATTAATAACAAAAATATAATCAATTAGTAAATTTTAAAGTTATAATCATTTAAAACTTTTAAATAGTAAAATGACAAAATCTAAAAATAGATCAATGTCTAACATCACTCAATTGTTTATATTTGGCCACAGTAAATCTATGAAAATTAGCCAATTAGTTGAAATAACAAACAGGTTTATAATCCAGAATCATTATTTTTAGTTTAGTTTTGTTTTGTATAACAAAATATGATTTGCAAATTATTTCAAACTCATGATTATCAAAATTTGGCAGGTTCTATTTTTGACCACCCATATATGAGAGGATAGCCAAGTAGAAACTAAAATTTTAGCTTTATTTTTTATTATTTATCTTTTTTTTTTTTTTTTTTAAAAAAAAATTATTTTTTTATTTTTTATTTTAATCAGTCAAGACTATAAAAAGCCATGAGTTTAAACTTTTAATTTAATTTATTTTGATTTAATTTAATTTATTTTATTTTAAATTATTTTTTATTTTATATTTACCATATAACCACAAAGTAGTGCATAGGAAGTTATTTCGAATTTCGGCCTGAATTAAGCTTAATTTAGGCTAAAATTTGAAATCAACTCCATCACATTATTTTGTGGTTATACAGTAATTTTTAAATTTACTTTTTTATATGTTCATTTTACTGGTGAATGCCAAAAAGGAGGGGGAGAAGTGATATTAACCGAAAAATTAACTTCAAACAGCCTTAATGAGTGAATAAATACTCTGTTTCAAGAATATTCATATCAGTGAAATGAGAGTTGACAGGAGGCAAATGTGCAACAGTAACCATGATATTTATTTTTATTGAATGTCAAGATGTATTCAAGAATGATGATCACAAATGTATTTAGTTGGGGGAGCTGGTATTAACAAGAAAGTGTACATTTTTTGTTTCTCTCTTAATCATAACTGATAGGAATATGAAAATTCTGAGATGTTTTCCAAATATAATTCTGTTCACTTCTTTAAATTCTTTATCCAGAGAATATGATAAGCACTTAAGTTTTAGCATTTTTGAAATTTCTTTATGCAGGTCTTTGAAATCTATATTTGTTAATAGAATATACTTTTCTAGAAGATAATTAGCATCCATTATATCAAACAAATCTATCTTCTCTTTATTAGCCATCTTGGTTTTATTTAGCTTCATTGATTAAAGATTTATCCATTAAAAAAAAAAATCCAATAATATTTATGTATAAGTAATTATGTTATTATTACCAATTGCACAACCGGTTTGCTGTAACTTTTTATATAGTAGTTAGGGATGGTAAAGTCCAGTCCAGGTCTGGTCCTGGTCTTGTAACCTGTAGGTTTTACCGTATGAACTTATGAACCAAGTCTTTATAAACCCAATTTAGGACTTTAGTTAACTTAGGTCCAGTCCAAGACTTAGTCTAGAACCTAGGCCCGCTATATGTTATAAAAGGGCAGATTTGGGGTGAAACTACTTTTCTATAGTTCTTGGGCTTCACTCCAAAGAGCCAAGGCTCAAAACCTTAAAAGGGTGGATTTGGGGTGACTAGTACTCGCAACCTAAGACACAACAAAAATCAAAGGCTACTCGAAAAAAGGCGTGAAAGATTTGGTCCGAAAACCAAAGATCCTACTGCTACTAGGATCTCGGAGTTTATTATTAGATGATCTTTATTATAACACTTCACTTGTTTTCAGATACATGAAATCGGAAATCGATGGTTATTTATACATTACAGAAAGCTTTGGGGTTTTGCTACTACGATTAGAATCTTTAAGCAATATGACATAACTATGACTAGTTCTCACCATAGAGGCGCCTTACTATTTTCTTCAATGGAGCTTCGCCTCAAATCAAACCCGAATTGGCATTTATTAAATGCCATCACTTTTTCGATCATACACATTAAAGTCTCGAGTCTTATGGCTTTGCTACTATGATTAGAATCTCTAAGCAATATGACATGACTATGACTAATTCCTACCATAGAGGCGCCTTACTATTTTCTTTAATGAAGCTTCAATGGAGCTTCGCCTCAAACAAACCCGAATTGGCATTTATTAAATGCCATCACTTTTTCGATCAATACAGCAATATGCATTAAGTCTCGAGCCTTATGGCTTAGATCACGTTTTTTTGATGCGGCTAGTTCACGTTACCCTTTACACAATCCTATTAGCGTTAGAATGCGTAATAGCAAAATTATGTGAACTATATACATTAAATAAATTATTATGATCTTAAACTGAATTATGCAATTATAGACTTGTATATTAGGACTTTTAAAGATCTAAGGACCCTAGGCCCTTAAATTTGGATTTGGTAGTGGTAGTAGTAGTCATAAGTTAAATCATATGTAAAGAAGGTTACACAATATCCTCTAACGATCTTAAAAAAAACATTATGATTGGCTAATTTTTGTTCATTAAAATTAATAAGAAACCTATTATCGGGTTTTCAATCTACAGTATGAGATTTTGTTCGGCACAAAACATAATTGAAAAGTCAATAGCAGGTTTTCTCTTGGCGATACTCATATCGATATAATTAAATGTTTGTTACATCGCAATTAGATAAATACAATTGGTTTGCATTCACTATAACACCCTGACCATAAATCCACCATATTATATGTTGTAAGTTCTTTTAAGCTAATCAATAATAAAATTTTAAACATGATACAGAATAAATAACATTTCACAAATATTTCTATAAATGACTAGACTATAATGTGAGAAATATCTATGAGCTTTGAAAAATAGAGGGATGAATTCCGTTAAAAGAAATTAAATTCAGCGAGCACATGATTATATTGCTAAGGTAATAGTATTTCATCTGGGGTAGTTTCAAGAAGAGTGAACCCAGTGATATCTTCGTGGTAATCACATTACAGGATTAAACACTCGGCCTAAGTTAGGGTTAGTGTTAGGGTTAGGTGATAGTATTTTTTTAGGCCAAATTCGTTAGTGCTAGTAAACAAATGACGTCATTCCATGATTTCACATAATGTGATTATCACTGGGTTCATTCTTCGAGTGTCCCTTCATCTGCTGTTCTTACAATGTAATAATTAAAAATAATGGAAAGAGAAAAACATCGCACCCCGCTGAAAGAATATTATAATTACAAATATAAGAATGTTTTTAAAACCTCATCAAGCTGAATGCAATTTCTAAAGACAAAATGAAAACCAAATCAATTATTGATCAGATTTATCGGTAAATTATACATATCTGCTATCCTAAAATTTTAGTGAAATTTAACTTTAAATTATAGCGGTTTGTAAAAAGGTTTAACCTCTGCAGATCATAATGCCATGTAAAATCACAAGAAATCTGCTAATTCTAGTAGATTTTTCGATTCTTAGAGAATTTTAAAGATTTCGAATAAAATATAGTTGCAACATTATTTTTCTTAAATTATTTACAAAACTTTAAACGATGATTTCTCAACACCATATATCCAAATTCAATGAAAATTTTTTTATTTTTATTATGCAATTATTTAGGATTAAAATAAAAAAAAAATTTATTGAAACTTAATAGACAGTTGTTGAGAAATATCGATTAAATTTTAACAAAAAATTTGGCTGCTGCTTTTGTTTTACGGATATCTAAAATTTGAACGAAGATTACTCGACACTTGCCTTATCATATTCGATCAAAATTTTTTTATTTTAATTTTATAATCGAATTTAATTAGGTAACTTCCGAGTTATATTCGTTCAAATTTAGATTTCTGTAAAAAAAAAGCTGCGGCCAAATTTTTTTTTTTAGCTTTTTGATCGATATTTCTCAACATCCATCCATTCAAATTCGGTAAAATTTTTTTATTTTAATTTTGCATACTTGCAGAATCAAAATAAAAAAATTCATTGAATTTAGATAAATGTATGTTGAGAAATCATCATTTAAAATTTCAAAAAGAAAAATTTTGCCGATTTTAGATTTTCTTTCCGATATTTTAAGCTTTTTCAAAACTTCTAGCGAAGGTTTCTCGACAATCACTTAACCAAATTCAATGACCTTTTTTTTATTTTAATTTACAAACATATAGAAACGAAATAAAAATGGTTTATTAAATTTAATCGAATGGTTATTAAGAAATCATCGCTAGAAGTTTAAATAAATTCGAAAGGATTTTCAATTTAATTGATTCTGATTGGTGAATATTTGGGCTCCGGAATCAGATCGGAAAGTTCTACAGTGATCTTCAGCTCGGCTATTTATAACGATAGTGATTTTCACCATGGCTGGGTACTCTAATATTGTATAATATTGTATATCTGTTTAATATATAATAAAATAATTATTTGTCACTTGCTTATATGTTTGATCAAAAAATTAATTAAGAAATTGGTCAAATAATTGATCGACTATAGCTGGCTATAGCCGCTATTAGTCGATAGTCAATACCTAGCTGACCGAACCCATCCCTACTTATCACTAAAACCTTCTAATTCGTCCTAATTGCCTTAATCCCTCATTAGTCCCTTATTGATAACTGTGGCTTTTCCTCCAGAAAGGGCCTTCTTTCCTAATTCGGAATACCCGGGTTATACTTGCTGGCAAAACCCGGACAAATCTCAAACAAATTGCTTTTATAAAAAATTTAATCAAAAAAGATAATCTAAAGATTATTAATAAAGTTTTTGAGATATTAGTTTTTACCTGGGTCACATATCACGTGTCTTCCGTCAAGATAAACGACCTGCAAAGGTCACACTATAACGATATGATATGTCTTATACCTTTTAATAATAAATACATAATGCTTTTTCTTAAGGTGAGATCTTGCTTATACTTTTATTGAATAATTTATATAAGTAGTTACACAGAAGACTACCTGAAAGTTAAAAATTACCAATAAGGCCACACAAAGTTAATTTTTCGTTTTGCATTACCCGCCGACCCATTTTTTCAATTTTTCGAATTTTATTTTATTTTTTTAGGTTCCAATTGTGCCAATTGTTCTAATTTTGCCATTTAATTTCCCCATAAATTATTCCGATATCACCCGATAGCGACCTTATTTCCGGAATTTTTCCGATAGAACTGATAAAAAAAAATTCGATTGCCGACCCAATTTTCTGATTCCATGTTATGTAAAGCGAAAAATTAACTATGCATGACCTTAAATGTGAATATGAGTCTATTATTTACTGTAGAGTTAAAAAAAAAAATCCGACCGACCAACCGTTGATTCTGAAATCCATGTAATGCAAACCGAAAAATTAACTTTGCGTGGCCTAATCCCTAACAGCTATGAAAAAAGTTTTGCGGAATTTATGGAACATTTAGTATAATTCCTTATTATATACGGAATTCTCCGCAAACTCCGTATTTTATATTCTGAATCTATAAAGAAATAGATTAATTACTTATAATATTTCGTATATAAAATACGGAATTATACTAAATATTCTTATAATTCATTTAAAATTCATTTAAAATCCCGTAAACCATTTTTCATATGGAATTAAAAAAGTTAATTTTTTAATATTTAATATAAGAGCTTAAGAGTCGGCTCTAATGATGGGCAATCGGCTGTTTTTCTAAAAATCCCGCGCGGGGTTCGCGGGATTGTTTTTTTATATTTCGGACTTTTACGGAAATGGGTCGAAATTTTACCTCACCCTCGGAACATTCCGGAATCCGGCCAGATTTACGACACTGCCCGAATTTTATAATATATCCCGCGCGGGATCATGCGCCGGATTGCGCGCGGTTCACGCGCGGTGCCTATCACTAGTCGATTCTAATTAATAATAATTATCATTGAACTGATTTTCATCCTTATATTGACATTAAGGTAAATCTTCGTTTTAATATATAAATAAAACAAAGCCGCATAATGCATTAAAATAACTAATATAATTTAAGGTTTGTATTATTAACTATTTAAATTACTTTGAGCTCCAATTGATATAAATAAACACAGTATATTAAGAACTTTGCGTATTTATTCGTTATGTTTAATTTAGAGTTTGTAATAAGAACATTTTGGGTTGGCGTGCATATTGCAAAATGTTGGGAGCCTGCGTGATATTTTGACTACCTGTGTTATTTAGTGTACCTCCATGTGAAATTATTTCGTGATGTGTAAAATCGATTTTTTGCCTATTCATTACTTTATATGAAATGCGTGTTATTTCGGGATGTTCATGGTCCATGCGCGTTATTTTTAAATCAAATGCAAATGTTTAAAAACAAAATTTTGAATAACGCCCACAGCCGTTATTTCGAGGTTTTACGATGCGTACACATATGATACATGAGAAAAATGACCGCGCATGCGCATATACGTCCGTACATCACATATTCAAACTCACTGCTTAAAATAATTAATAACTTGATAATTTTGAAAAAACTAACGACATAAATTCCAATAATTGTTTACTGATTTAAGATAACAATAAAGAAACAATGGCGTTATAAAAATGCTGAAAGATATTGTATAACAGCACAAATAAGCAAATTCCGTAAATAGGACTGCAAATGGATTAGAGAAGCCATAACTTAAAATGAAAATGACGTATATTGTAGTTCAATATGTGATGAAAAGATTCTATGCAGATAGATTGTTATCTCGTGAAAAATGTAAAATTAAAAATGAAACTATTGAAGAAAAGAATGATGCCGCGTAGAGTTTAGAGAAGTCGTCCACTATTTTAATACTACAGTCAACTACCGATATAACGGACACATTTAAACCGGATTCACCGGGTTAACGGACAAATTGCAATGAACCAAATTTTTAATATATAAATAATTTATAATGTTTATAACGGATTAATAATAAAAAAAGTCTTATGGGGCTGCGTTAACTAAAAGGTGGTTTATGGGATTTTTTGTAAAAATGAGTTATCTATACTATCATGCATTCTTCTATATAATTTGACATAACGATAAGCATATTATTGGATATTTGCTTGTCGATTCCTGTATGCTAATAATAGATCGTCACTCATTGCTATTCCAAATTTTAAACGTGGTTTTCTCAAAATAGAAAAGCCATAAGCCTCCTTTTAGTTGACGCAGCTCCATATTACGGAATTTTTTTTTCAGCCCGGATTTCCGTTATATAGATATAGCTGACTATATATAGGTTCAAAAAATATAGATATAGTTGACTATATATGGTTTCAAATAATAAAATTTATGTGCCATGTTTGTGGGTGGCTATGCTTGTTGGCCAAACCTGAACAAATCTCTAACCTCTAAAAAATAATCGTTAGTTATAAAAAATTAAATCAACCAAATAATCTTAAAACTTTATAAGTATATTGTCTATAGCTATAAGATTATATAATTTCAAAGATTTTTAATAAAATTTTTGAGCTATGAATTTGGCCAGACTCTTCAAGTTTATTTAAAGTAGACAAACTTAAAGGGTTTGGCCAAACTCATAGCTCAAAAATTTTATTATAATCTTTGTTTAAATAAATTATATATATTCTTATAGTTATAGATAATATAAAATTTTAAGATTATTTGTTTGATTTAATTTTTTATAACTAACAATTACTTTTTAGAGGTTTGGGCAACAAGTATAGGTGTGACCTCAGAAAAATTTTTAAAGTTCATTGATGTTAGGGTTAGCATTTGAATTAGGATAGAAATTAAGTAATTATACAATAAATTACTCAAAGAAACCTTTTTATTAGAGCAGTAAAGTGATATTCTATGCAGATTTCTGAGAAATAAGCAACGTTTGGTTTGAAATTTCATAATTATGTTACGTTACACCTGATCTTGAAATCTGATCTGTAATTTAAAATTATTACACAAATTTGACAATAATATACAGTATAACAATAAATAATATAGTCGTATATTCAAAATCATAATCTGTTTATTAATATGTGTCACTGAAATTGATTAATAAATTTTTAAGCAAAGTAAATACAGTATGCCAGTATAAAAAAAATTGTAAAATGAAATGTTCAACATATAAATGAAGCAATAAATTGAGTTGTTTAAAAACTAAAAATGCAATATTTGGCAAATATATATATTAAATACATGCATTAATACAGTAATACAATTTTTAAATTTTATTATACATTAGAAGATGTTTATCGATCCACTTTTTAATTAACCAAATAAATTATCAAAAAAAAGTTCAACCATCATCTAAACATTTAACCTAGCCTCCCTTTAAACCATTTTCACTATATTCTTTTATTGTCCGATCTTACTATTTACTATGTACATAATTTTTTCCAATCATCAGGTGGATTTAATTGTTTAATTTGATTCGGTTGCGTGACGAATTGCATAACTAAGCCCGATTGTACATGCCACTAAAAAACATAATGTCAAAAAAAAACTTATGAATAATGAAAATTTGAAGTGATATTGATGATAATTATGAAATTACCTCGATATGACAGTGCATGGCCCATATACCAGGGTTATTTGACACAAATCTAGCGATGATCCATCTGATAGTATAAAATCAAAATATAATTAAATAAAAATTTTGTCGGATAAAAATATTAAACTAAAATTTTAACGTACCCTCCAGCAGGAAGAGTTGCAGTATCACGTTGTATCGGATCTTTAGTATTTACAAGATTATAATCTGGACTTGTACCATTGTAGCCAGTACCAATTACCCAGAATACATGACCGTGCTAATATTAAAATCATTTAATTTCTTATTAATTAAAAGTAGGATCATTAATATTAACTAATATTTTTTTTCATACATACCAGATGGAATGGATGTTCGCCATTATCAGTGTCTATTTTTAAGAAATTTAAAAAAATAATATATAATAATAATATATAAATAATAAATTTGATTATTTATAAAAATAAAGAAATTCATTTTACGTGATACTTACTTAGCAAAATAATATCAACAACTTCATCTTTATCAATTATGTAAGCATTTTGATTAGATGCAAATGTCGTTACATTATTGTATACTTTCAGAATTGTAGGGCTTGTGAAATCTATATAATAAGTTGAATTGTTTATATTTCCTCTGATGGCACCATTAGCATCTGGTTGAAAACTAACATTTAATGTTAACTTATAGTTAGCATCTGGAATAGTTTGTGTTTGATAAGGTTTTAAACTTGAAGAATTCAAATCTATACAAGTTACTTGGCTATCAGTCCAAGCAGTCGAATTTGGATTATCACTACCACTATAACCACTATATCCAACAATAGCTTTTACGAGAGGATTTAGTGTATCAGATTGATTGGCAAAACAAGCAGTTTCCATTTCTGCACGCATCCAATATTTCCCTATAGGTTTATCGGCTGTAACAATAACTGAATAACGTTGTGCTATATTAATAGGGAGGCGATGGATTGTTTGACGTTGTGTCATTGTCCCTTCAACTTCAATAACATCCATAGGATGATCGTCAATTGAAAATATAAATTCTGTAAAAGCACTATCAAAAAATAAATAAGTTAATAAATAAATTTTGCCGATAAATAAAAAGGTTTTAAACAGTTAAAAGATCTAACCTGGTATTAATAATTCTAATTCTATATTTCTTTCCTTGAACAAATGTGAAGTTTGCCAATGGTGCATTACTAACGCAATTACTGCCATCTGGTGCCCCAGAACAATTATAAGAGTTCATTCCATTAATTAGACCGTTATCGGGTGTTGGTTCAGTTCCATTGCTTGCAGGAGTCAAGAATTGAGCTAACAAGGTTTTAACATCTTGATGGTACCAATCCTGTAACAATACCACAATTTCTTCATCATACTCTTTAAGATAAGGATCAGCCGGATCGTGAGCTATAAGGGCACCAACAATTCCATCTACATATTGAGCTTGTGAATGTGAATGGCTTTTTTTTTTTTTAAAAAAAAAGTCCATGTTATTTAATGCACTTTGCATGTATTGTCAGTCACATGATTAATTATTTAAGAAAGGTAAGATAACTTACTACCAATAAGTCCCACTTTGATTCACTTGAAATTCGTAAGTGAACGTTTTCTTTGATGGAATAGCACACTGAGTTTGTCCAGGGACGCCATCATACCAAGGAGTTCCGCGTTGAAACATTCCATGAGTATGGATCGTAGTATTATCATCTAAATTATTTATGACATTGAGAACTAACGTATCGCCTTTATTAACTTCAATTAGAGGACCAGGAAATTGGCCATTTACAGTGAACATGTTTCGAGTAAAACCATCAGGAGCCTTGCTTTCTTGGGCAATAGTAAGATTATAAACTTTTTTAGTATCTCTTTTGTTTAGAGAGTTTGTGTCCGGGGAAACGTTCTTTGGTAATGATAATGATACATTAGGAAGTAATAAAAATATTAAAATTAAAATAAAGGCCAAAGATAAAATTCTCTCTGCAATCATTTTTGATCAAAATTTTGGAGAATAAATTCATTTTCATGAAAGAAGGCAAGTGTATATAAAGTAAAATTGAATATAGCTTCCATGCCAGCACGTTACCAAAGACACTAACTCATTTGCGGGTAAAATGGGTAAAATGGTTATTTGTGAAACTATACCTAAAAAAATTTAGGCATTAATACTACTATTAGGATCAATTCATAACAATACATAATTGTCGGATACGAAAATAATAAACCAAATTTGTTTTTTTGTATTTTATTTTTGGTAATGTAAACAAATGGTAATTTTCAATGTTTATCTCCGGTACATACAAAAACAGATGCTTTCTTTAAAAATATGTCTTGTCTATTATTAGATCTATGCAAGATCAAAAAAAAATATCGAGATAGAAAAAAAAAGGAAAAAAGAAATTAAATTATGGAACTAAAATATTTATTAATTTCTTGGCATTGAGAAGAGTGAAACAGTACGCTCAGATTTTGTACACTACAGCTTTGCTATTAAACCTCTTAGGTTCTAGGCTCTATTAGGTTCAATTTATACTACGTATTTCTTAATCGTAAATTCTAACTTTTATTAAAAAAAGATTTATGCATGTACCTCAATAAGGTAAATTTAATAGTTTCAAACATGCCAAGGTTTCACAAACTTAGTTGCTCAAAAATAAGTTAATGCTATGAAAATCTTTTCGATATCTGGTATGCATTCGGACGTATCTTTTCACGAACTATAAATAGAATCTCTAATAAATGATGATCGATTGATGCATATGTATTATTTGTCACTGTATGTATTATATTTTTGATATACCAACACCGAATACATCAATCATAAAAAATCTGAAATGGCTGATAAATTCTAAATGAAAATTCATTGAATTTGAATAAATTTGGTATTTATTAATAATAAACCAGAAAAACAAATAAACATGTCTAATGACGAATAAAGTTTTGTTTAACTAATAATAAAGAAACTTATGTCGCTATCATCGGCGAGTAATTGAGAATATAAAACAGAGACTTAATGTATTTATTTACCTTCTAAAAATAAATCTATATAAAATTCTAGACTGTGTATAGGGTGATTTGGAATCTCTGCTTCAGTACAAACTGATCAACTAATCAGATTATTTCTATTTATACGTATATCGATATGCACAGCCACTTATTTGTGGGTGCTCTTATTATTATGTCAAGCATTCCGGCTGAAGATAACCTATACAGAAACTTTGAATCTCTTAATGCACAGTAACTGCATAGTACGTAACTACTGCATATTTAAGTTTCTGTAAAGACTGTAGATCCTTTCCGATCTGATTCCGGAGCCCAATATTCACCAATCAGAATCAAAATCCTTTTTAAAATTTTGAATTTTTTTTAAACTTCTAGCGAAGATTTATCGATAACGATCTGATTAAATTAGATAACCTTTTTTTTTTATTTTGATTCTATATAATTCTAGAATTAAAATTAAAAAAAGACTCATTGAACCTGGTTTAGTGGTTATCGAGAAACCTTTATTAGAAGTTTTGGAAATATCTTTGGATAAAAAGTTTAAAATCAGCAAATTTTTTCCTTTTGAACCTTTAAAAGATAATTTCTCAACAACCTTATATCAAAATTTAATGGAATTTTTTTTACTTTGATTCTGTGAGTTTTAATAGATGGATATTGAGAAACATCGATTAAAATTTAAAAAAAAAAACTTTTTCTTTTTTTACGATACCTAAACTTTGAACGAAGATTACTTGGCACTTATCTAACCAATTTTATTTTAATTCTATGAGATTATAGAATAAAAAATAAAAAAATTTAATCGAATTTAATTAGGTAAGTGCCGAGTAATCTTCGTTCAAATTTTAGGTATTTGTAAAAATAAGCTGCTGGCAAAATTTTTTTTTAACTTTTAATCGATATTTCCCGACGTCTACATATCCAAATTCTATACCATTTTTTATTTTAATTCTACAAATTTGTAGAATTTAAATAAAAGCAATTTCAATAAATTTGGATGGACGGTTATTGAATAATCAACATTTAAAGTTTTGTAAAAAAAAATTTAAAAAAAGAACGTTGCAATAAAACTTTTTATTTAAACTTTAATTAACGATTGCTCAACAACCAAATTCGATGAAATTTTTTTTCTAACTCTGCGAATTCATGGTATTAAAATAAAAAATTTTTAATGAATTCAAATACTTTACAGAAACTTAAATTTCTTAGGGCGCAGTAATTGCATAATAATTACATAATAATTACATAATTACAATTAAATAATCGTAACTTAGTTACTATGCAGTTACGGCGCCTTAAAAATTTAAGTTTCTTCATATTAGGCAGATGTTGAGAAATATCGATTAAAATTAAAAAAATTTGGCCGTGGATCGTTTAAAAAAAAATAAATAAAACTTACTTTTGAAATATTTTTTGTTTATTTTAAAAATAATATATAAATATAAGATGTATATATGATATGTGTAGAATATATGGGACCCTGTATAGCAAAATGGTGCATTGGGCCAACTAATCAGATTTTGAGATTTTATAATAATAATCTGTATATATATTGTATTTTTCTAAAAATATTATTAATTTGTTAAGTATTTTAATAAAATATATATAAATTTAGAATTTGTTTTATTATTATTATAATGTAATGATTTTTAATTGCAATTTTTTAAAATTACATAATTGTCTCAATATACTGTTTTGCTATGCAAGGTCTCATATGTAAATATATATCTAATATCCTCCTAATTAGTAGCAAATAAGTGTAAAAATAAATATCAACATCTATATTACATCAAGTACACAACTTTTTCCGACAATCATCTAGACCATATTTTTTGAAAAACATTTTAACTAAAAACAATAATGTACTGAGAGGTGTGGTGACTTAGTGTAGTGGTCTAGTTGTCACCCTCTCCAAGTGGCAGGTCTAGAGTTCAAATCCCACGAATGACGATATTTGAAAAATAGACTTGTGTTCGGTTAATGGCTATGCATATCAGTTGAATCTAATCTGTAACTTCAGTTACACCATCTAGTAATAGGAGCAATGGCGCAATAAATCTGAGGAACTGGCATAACCAAAAACCTATTTGGGAAGTTCTGAGTTAGGGGTAATAGTGATCTTTGATGGTATTACAAGAGGGCTAAATTTGAACCAGGCCCAAGATCGGAGAACTGAACGACCAGGTCCTAATGGCGGAAGACACACCAGCTGAACTGCTAGGTTCTGTCGCACTGGAGAAAAAGGACATATGCTCCAAAAGTATATACCAAGGGGAGGGCATCCTTCAGGTATCTAAAGCCTGGGCAAACCAACCCTTCTGAGTTGCCGGCGAGAGACCAATAAAGAATCTGGGTAAGAAAACAGTCCAAATATGGGTACTAGGGTTGTTGGGAACCCAATAAGGGCGGAAGTAGGTAATCACAGGGGTTCAATAGTTAACTCTGACCAAAAGTACATAGGTATAGCTGTGGCATAAGTTACTGAAGTCTAGATAAATATATGTGTGAGACATATAATATCTAGCAAAATGGGAATACCCCACTATCCAATGATCCGAAGGCACTCAGAGTTGGGGTAAGCAAACTACAGACACCATGTAGACCAATAGTAAGGTAAATAGGAGTTAACTATGACTATACCAGGCTGTAAAGTTGGTACATCTTACTCAAAGGGGTTTATGGAGATTCAGGAACTGTAACATCGCAGGGGAAGGGACCTGGGACATCTGCAGTTGTTGATAACTAATTAGGAAGGTTATGGCTTGAGATATAGACTGGGTTATAGCAGTACCCAAAAAAGGTGGCTTGAGATACGAACTCGGTGTTAGCAGCATAACAGATACTAATAGATTAGAGATTACTAATGATATACTGAATTTTTGTTGTAAAAATAATGGATAAGATTTCACATTTTTGACTACTGGTAATACAGTTGAAGAAAAGCATTTAAAAATCCAAAAAATTATATATCTTAAAAATTTTTATATACAAAAATCTGATAAAT